GTGCGGTAAACCCACGTGCATGACCAGAGCACAGAGAGGCAGCAGTCTTAAAGAGCAGAGACATTTCAGCTAGGACTTCTTCACTGTGCAAAGAAAGCAGAGCTGAAATGTCTGTGCTCTTAACTCGCCTCCTGCTGGTACGTGCATGAAACATTAAATAAGACAAAGACCTGCTGCCCCTCTGCTCTGCAAAGCTTGAAAATCACCACTGCCACTGCGTCAGACGCTCAACACTGGGGGCTGCACACACCTGTGGGCTCAGCCATCCACCCCCCGGGGTGACCCACATCTCTGTGCTCCCAAACACTGACTTGCAAACTGAGGAGCACCCAGTAATGCACCCTGAAACTCTGACGGGAGTTGACTTCCATGCATTTTGACCTAACAAATATACAACGCATAGCTTAGAGTCAGTGTCCGGGGGCCAATTACTCCACTGGACACACAAATGTAAAACGAACCAACTCCTTTAAGGCCACAGGAAGCAGTAGGACGGGACTTTCAGCCCAGTTTTACTAAAACCATTAACTCACATTACTGATCACAGCAGACTAAATGTAATGCAGAACCTCTGAATAAAGTACACGTGATGTACACACTCACCAAATATGGTGTTCTCCTCGGTGTAGTCCTTCTCACAGTCGAGGCGGAGCAGAGTGCCGTAGTTGAAATCTTCCACTGCACCTTCGAACTGGTTACAGAACGGACGCCACCTCTGCACAAGGACAGTTCAGAGTCACAGCTCTGACAGAGCTTCCAGAGTTACTACTAACAACCACCACCACTACTATTACTACCACTACTGCTGCTTATACACTCAGCTGGTGGTGTCACACTGCTCTATCAGTCCAACAGAGGAGCTGGAAGGTGCAAAGTACTAAGATCCTTTACTTCAGTAAAAGTATTACTATAAAAAAGCCGGTGGTCCCAGTAACGTCTCTGATACTGGATCATAGTGACTAATTACTGTGTCCATCACTTTAATGCTGCAGCTGGTAAAGGTGGAGCTGATGGTAACTACCTTATATACTTATACTGGGAAGTACTTTCCATCCTGCTGGGTAGCTGGTGGATTTCCTACTGGGATCAATAGAGTCTGATGGTTCTACTGGGTTTGGTTTGATTCATCTGATTCTGGACCTGAAGTTATCAGGTACATGTAGTGTAGTAAAAAGTACACGGTCTGTCTCTGACATGGAGTCACAGGATGAAGGAGCAGGACGTGGTAATACTCAGGTACCGTACCAGTACCTCCAGACTGTGCTGTTACTTTGCACTACTACTTTTTACTGCACCAGGACTGAATCGAAGCTTCACCCAATCATTAGGGTGAAGCCTGATTTTCAAACTGTAAACTACTAAAACCAGAACCAGGTGCACAGATCGAGGCCACTACACAGGTCACGCTCACCTCTTTGGCCTCGTCAGACTTCAGGTCGTCCACTTTCAGCAGCTTTACGTTGAGCTTGCTGAAGCTTTCTCTGAAGGACGAATAGATTTTATCATCCAGCTTCGTCAGCTTCAGGAACTTTGGGTCCACAGATGAAATCAGCTGCAGACAGAAGAGCAGGTTCATCAGTGGTAGTTTAATGCTGAAAGAAAGTGAGTCTGGTTTGGTTAACGGAACACGGAGGAGAACGCTCTGGATGTCTGTAGGACCAGAGAATAATCACCGACAGAGGAGACCTATCCAGTTCTGATCAAGATGTTTGCAGTGACGTGCGGTCAGGGGAGGCAGGTGAGGCAGAGCCTCCCCTGTCAATCTGGACAAGAAAAAAAAGTTAACCATAAAATATAATAAATGTTAATATTTGTGGGCTGGTGTGTGTTGTAGGCCCTTTTGCCGTTCGAATCCGATGTTGAAGGA